AGAATAGTCTTTTGCATGATAATGAAAACCTTTCTTAATAAAATTGCTGTAATAACGGTTAATCAAACAATGATGACTATAGAAATTTCACAATTTTTTTCTACGAAGAATTTCTTTCCAAATGACCTACGGCAGCTACATACACTGTTGAATCGTCGGACGAAAACTTGTAATTACGTGTCCACTCAACTTTGGTAAATATTTTGCCTAATCATGATCACTTTTTAATACTAGAAATTGAGAAAATCTAGTCACCCGAGTCGGGCATATAACTGCCCAAAAATTGGTCGTACTATGATTTCCCTCATAATTATTGGACAATTTTATCAAATATTCCAGTGCAGCGTGAAAAAATCACGGGAACTGTGCCTTGCTGGATTGATGTCAAACAATAAAATCACGCTTATGTTCAATTTTCTCGTCTAAAGCATCTTCCCATTCTTAATTTCAATTTAAAAAGTGTATGGATTCGTTTCATTTGTAGCCCCTCCTGCTCCCCCCCCCCCCCCGAAAATCAAACGACGAAGCCAAAGAAACCTCATGAGGACATTCACCATTCACAATCATTACATAGCACAGGCCGCATCGTAACGTCGTTATGCGTCGCGTCTGTGGATTGGCTGTAATTAAAAGCTCGTTAGTGATAGACAAGGGTACCTTAATATCCCTAGATTATCATCAATTACGCGGCATATATTGTTTGCTTTTATTATTATGCTCTTCTGAAACTATTGCTATGCTTAGTGTGATTGATAGGGGCTTTATACATGTACATACAATATGAATATGATAAAGAGAGAGATGGGGAGGGAGAGAGAGAGAGGAGGAAAACAGAGAGAGAAATATAAAAATAAAGAGAGGGAGGGAGAGAGAGAGAGAGAGAGAGAGAGAGGGAGAGAGAGATGGGGAGGAGAGAGAGAGATGGGGAGGGGAGAGGGAATGAGAGAGAGAGAGAGAGAGAGAGAGAGAGAGAGAGAGAGATGGGGAGGGGAGAGGGAATGGAAGAGGGAGAAGGAGCGCCTATTATGTGATTATGGGGGGATTCGTTGCCATAATGAGAGTGTGATCGAATGAAAGATCTTAATTACCAGAATTTGATTAAAGTACAATTATGGTAAATTTGCTGATAGCGGGACACCACTAGATAACAAACTACTCAAAGCAATCTATATATACATAGAATTTGGCTAATTCGGTTTCAATTGGACTCGATATAGCGTGTATTATTTTGTTTGTATTTTCCCAACAAAGCAACATTACCCACACTGCTTTCATCTACAACCGCGTTGGCAAAACTCTGTATATAGATTGCTCTGACGATATACTCTATAAAGGTAAACGCCTTCTAAATATTTTCATGAATGTACAGCACATTACATTCCTTACAATACATCTTACAATATGATACATAAGCTAGCAGCAAATGGAATGATATTTAAAGGTACTATGCCCCAACGGCATTTGAAAGATAAAACTAATTTAGAACTTCCCTCAAAACGAAAGGGCTTGAAAATGGCTTTTTGTGGGAAATAACGGCTGCTAGTTGTCGAATCGACTTCCTTTCTACCGAATGGTTGTACGTGTTGTGCTGCGCAAAGATTCAATCATTTTAATTTCGGCCATTACAAGAATTGGGTTATTGATGTAACCAAATGCTCATGTATCCTTTACAGCTCATTTTATATATGTTTTTACCAAAGAAAAGAAAAAATTCAGTCACTCACTCACTCAATCCTATCAGTGTAAAATAACTATAACAATACATAATGATGATGATAATAGTAATGATAATTAGATCAATTTATATAGCGCAGCTACTATATACATATACTCTACTGCACTGTCATGAAAACAAAGCTCCCAACAGTGCTGCTTTACAGACACATAATAACAAAAACTAATAACTAAAGTTATTTTGTAATGTCAAATTAATGTTTTGTCTGACAAGCTTGCATACAATAAAACATTTCTCAAATGAATGGAGGGAACAGTTTTGAAGAATTTTTCGGTCGGAAGTCGATCTTTCCAGAAAAGATTGCCCAACAAAAGTTTGATACTAAGATTAGATAGGATATACAATAGGTAGTTGATTGTCAGGATGATTGGACATTTTCAATGACAACCAGTTTCCTGAACAAATTAGCTCCTTCCGGGTCACGATCTAAAGCTTTAAAGAGATAGTCACGAACTGGTTTTAGATGGAAAAGAATTTAGAGCTTTCCTTTTCAATGTTTTTTTTTCCACTTTGGTAGAATATCCGATATAGATATACTTTAATAAATTACTTCTTAAATGGCCTCATAGTTGACATATGACAGAAATACCTCTTTAAAAATGTGTTGATCAAACTTTCATGCCACATGTCTATTCAGCCCCATAATACCATTCCTTTATACAGTGCAAATGAATTTCAGCAATATACCGATTCACTTTCTTATCACGGATTGCAAACTTCACACTCTTTATACACTAATCCTTAAGCGCTTCAAAGTCAACCCATTCCCCTCGCTTTCAGACAGTTTATTTCATAATATAATCATATAACCAGAACTAATCGTTGTCCTTAAACGTCTTCATGTTAACCACTGGAAGTTTGAAAATGGTATACACATTAACAAGCAGGATGCATACCAACTTTTCTCGTTGACCTTGCTACGGAAATGGGTCAAGTTCGTCAAGCGGAAAGACAGGAAGAGGCACGGTTGTTATGTACCCATAGCAACGAAATCTCTTTCTCTCTCTCTCTCTTTCTTTCTCTCCTTCACGCCTTCTCTCTTTCTCCCTCTCCCTCTCTTCATCTGTATCCATTTAGTGTCAGAAATCTCTCCAATGTTATACTATTTATCCAGTAAAACATTTTTCGAATGTTGACACACAAAAATGCTTTAACGCATTAAAAGAAAGCCAATAATGACAGACTTTTCCGACTTCAAGAAAATCATAGGCGGAATTAATAACCCTAATACGAACGTGTCAGTATTAATTGAATTGATTCTGAGAAGTGATTATAAAACCGTTTTGGCTCTTTCGGAGTCATTCAAATTGTCACAATGTCACTTAATTTCTTCATATTTCCAGGATGCTTTCAGCTAATTAATGACATGTTTCTATCACCATTCATCCCTATCTATCATGTATGATGCATTCATACATAAATTACAACGAATATCAATGAATTTGCGAAACCATATACTAGGCAATAACCAATCATGCATATACCTGTACACCTCTCTAGCGAAATGTACGCATATAATTCTAACACTTGTTGCGTTAGAATCGCGCAGCTCTGTACCAGTTTATATTTAGTATGATTTCTTTTCAATCGATGTTTACCATTGTGTTTCCATGACAACATATTTTATTTTGATATTACTGTAGATCTAGTCTGTGAATTGTCTGTACGAAAGGACACAATGTCATGTGTAAATACCACAACCCACACATTTTAATCATAGAATCTTGAACTTATTTTGTGGTTACAAATGAAAATAATGCCCTATACTTTTATCAAAGCTATAATCGTGAATTATATATTTGGGATAAAGGGTCTAGAAGTATTACCCAATATGATATATTTTCACTTCTGAATGGAAGAACATGTATACATGATATAAAATTGTTTATATAATAACAACAACAATAATAATAATAATAATAATAATAATAACAATAATGATCTGGATATGAGATACTTTCTCTAAGCGCTTTGCATATAATAACCCAGCCATTGGATCCATTCACGCATAATATGCACCATCTCCACTCCCTAGGGAGTATTCCTACCACATGATCACCGCGAGGGCATATGTCAATTACTAACACAAAGTCTTCATCATCCTTCCCGGTCCCTATTTCTCTCCTGGGTATGGAGTGGCAAATGTAGATTAATACCTTGCCAAATGACATTAGTGCCATGTCGGGGATCGAACCCATGACCTTAGCATTTCAAGTCAACTGCTTAAATCACTCGATGGCGACACATTATAGAGGTATGAATAGTGGAATCTCATTTCAAACCGATATGGAGCTTCGAGAAGAGCAACAGCTTGATGCCTGATCAGCCCTTACAATTAGATGAACTGTTTGATGAGCTTTACAAACGCCATTCACATCAGCAGTCATTCAAGTACATGTAATAAATGTACTCATGTGTACAGTTCTGAATATACGCCCTTTAATAATGCTGACACCCGATTTTACCATCATATTTGCAGGAATAAACCGTAAGGTACCGCCAATCTACTGGAGCATTAGAAATAGTCATTCGAAATAGAGTGGAGATCATCATCATAAATGTTCATCGTGGTTATACACTATATACACGCATTGAAAATTCTCTATGTATGTTTTAAGTCTACAGGAAATTCATCTGTCATTAAAGAAGCATTGAGCGTGCGATGGTGAGCTAGGTGACTCACTAAAAAGTCATCGTGTGAAGGTATAAGCTGCCTGCCTGCCTCTACATACAAATTATAATGATAATAATAATTCCGCTTTTATATAGCGCTTCATACATCTATGATGTCCCTAACCGATTTACAGATATACTATTAAAGTATGAGATAATGTAGGCAGATTCTATGCACACGAAAAACAATGATAAAAATACATGTATGTATGTTAATGTGTGTGTCGGATGGGTGGGGGGGGGGGCTCATAAGCTCCTGAGCCCCTTTCTTTTGTTGTTTTAAAAAATTATTAACATAAATAAATGAATAACAAAGTAAATAAAGTATTTTTATCGTTAGATCGTTGAGTAGCATTTTTCCTCTTCGACTCTTTTGTAAAGACTTCCAACTCAAATCGTCAATGAACAATGAACTTCTTTTAGTTCTTAATGGACACGGTGTTTAATAACATAGACAACTATATTTTACATTTTGGCACTCATGCACATTGAATAAAACTCTTCGACCACTGATTTTTAAATACTTTAAATCAATGAAGTATTAGACACTTCTCATTGAGTTGTGAGTCAAAGGTTAGAAATCTTGTCTTACCTATTGTTGAGATGACGGTGGCGGAGAAGAACAAAGCTCCAAAGAAATTCCACCTGGGTTTACCGGTGGCGTTTCTTGTCTGGACTGAAGTATGGTGTTGGCAAAGAACATTGTGCATTACATCTTCGTAGTCATCGACGAGATCGGCCAGTTTCATCTTCATGTCATCGACGTCGACAGAATCGGTACCTGGTCGAGAAAAAGAGAAAGGTGACGGGGTTGACGTGACCCAATTGGTCATATGTTTCTAATCGGAACCGGAATGGCGCTAAATCGTAGAGTTTACATGTACTTAAGTGGCACAGGGTTCATGCCCTTCAGGCCTTATAACGAGATAATGATATCATCACAAATAGTAATATTTTAGTGTGGCAATGTGGCGTATATATATATATATATATATGATCTCATGTTATTCTTCTTGTTTGTCTCTACTAACACTATTTGTATCTAGTTTGTTTCATCTTTGAGTATACGTCTGTGATAGAGGCTATCTACTTCTCTTATTCTCTCTCTGTCTCTCTCTCTGTCTCTGTCTCTGTCTCTGTCTTTCTATTTATATCTCTTTTCTCTCCACGCCTCATGAGATTGGATAGCTCATCATTGACATGTCTACACCTTTACTACCATTTGTATTTCAACGATTTTCTATTGTTTGTTTGTGTGTTATTTTGTTTCTGTTTACATTTTGTAATATAACTATTTCTAATACATAGTTCCTATAATTATACATTTCGGTCTACACCTACCTTCTAAAGACGCAAAACTAAGGGTAATGTTCGTGACATCTCCCAGGAAATCTCGTCGTGCCTCTTCGTATCGATGTAGCGCCTCGAGCTCGGTATTGCTCTCCAGCACGACGAACACGGCAGCGCCGATGACGGAGTAACCGATGAGGATGAGGAGCAGGAAGATGGTGATAAGACCGCTCTGGAGTTTCCTTAGCCACGGGTGCTGATCGAAGACGCTTTCGCCCCTCTTCAACTTCTTCGGGGATGAAACATTTCGAGACGCGCACCTCCTTCGACAGCAGATGCAGTTTCCCATGTCGATGACGAGTTTGTTTTTCTTTAATATTTCCCCTCACAATAACAATAAAAAACGTTGATGCAAGCTTTCTATCCTATCAGATCTATATAAAGACCGGGAAAATTGTGGAAAGCTCAGTGAAACGCTGTGTTATTTTGTTGTCACAAGAAGCGATATGCAGTTATCGGCACGAATGTGTTCACTTGCTTAATTAATAAGGCCACATCTAAGTTATATCAAAAGGGACCAAATGTAAACACATTTCAGATATAAACGTGCTTCACTGTAGGTATCAACACCTGACATTCAGCGTGTAGTTGATTTTCCTCCTTTTCAATCTACACAATCAGACGAGAAACATAGCAAACATATAAATGAAACAGGATATCTTATTCCAAGATTTCGAAAATCCTGAAAAGACGGAACATATCCTTTTATCCTTATGCAAGAAAAATCATAGTACAATCCATATTGAACTTCCTCGGTGCATCACAAAAAGCACATGTGACGATCCGGCCTCCAGCTACTGCCGTAAGTGCGAAGGAGCAAAATAGGAGACTGATGTGTCCACACTCATAATATATATGCCTACACTGGCACGGTAAAGCTCAGTCGCTCGTTTACATCGGAGGCAGGGGCATCTACTGCAGATATAAACCAAACACAACACATCAGTCTCGCGGCTCTAAAATTACCTTCCACACGTTAACAAGAAATCAATAGCAAACGTAGCGCGAGAAACCCACATTCACAATGTTCACTGATTGCTGTTCGACGGCAGTTCAAGCGTTTCCCACTCAGTTGATACGATTCCTTTAGTACCGAAAACGTTCAGAAAAAAAAAGCGCGCGCAAAAGTTAAAATTATGGTTCAGTGATCGCCTGTGAGATGATCATTCTACGCAGCGTTTTAGTCTTTCGATAAGAAAATGGGACACGTTTCATTGATTTCGGAAGCGAATGTAATTTCAAGCAGTTTGCTATGAAATTGTTAGCCGATTCTTCACAAGGTATGTCCAATCACAGATCCGAATATAATTGCTTATGCTTAATGGAGTTACAATAATGCATAATCCATGGCAAAGAACAGACATACTTCGGTAATGGATTTTCATATGGTGCTGGAAGTCAAACAAGGAATCGTTTATCATTCGCATCCCCGATTGTATGTAAAGCCTCCCCTGCTTTCGCTCTCTGTCTCATCTCTCTTCATGTTCGTATGTGTACAGTTCCACTCTACTTCATAAATGTTGACTTAAGCATTATTTTGGTGGAGACTGAAGTGGAATATTTTAGGCATTCGGAACCTTATTTATGTGTATCTCAAACTGATCACTATAATTTTTGTTGTCCTTTTTCGTTTAGACTTTTACTTTCAAATATTCATCCAAATCTTCTTCGTGTTTTTATTCTCCTATCGTATTTATTTTTGCCTTTCTCTTTTCTCATCCGACCATGCTTCCTTTATTGAAGTTTCCTCTACTGCGAGTAGGACTTACGTACATATTAATTCAGATGAGAGTGGGAGGGGGTGATGTATACTTAACACTGAAATCCATTGCGAATACTAAGTTGTATGACATATATCAACAGAGTCATGACAATACGCAAAACAATTTAATGAGTATTTGTACTAACTTCCCCCCTGACCGACTTTGGCCTATTTTGCAATTAATGTCCTTGCCTTGTGTGGCATTATAACCAGATGACGATTCGTATATAATACAAACGAGTGTGCTCACTACAATACAGAGATAGCTTTGAGGCCCATCTTACTCAGCTTTTATCTGATTATAGTTCCGTTTCTAAGGAACTTAGGGACTCGTTGCGATGCAACCCAAATCAGATTATCACAAAATGCGAGCTTCGAAATCATCTCGCTCCGGGTTTAACAAAAACATATTACTAACAGGTGAAGAAACTAACATTTCGCCTGCAATTGTGTGTGTATGAAGGTGTGAGTGCGCGTGTGGACTTTAAAGTGACTCGGTAATATTGTTGAAGGTTGATCAAAAACATATTTTTTGTATGAATTGTTATTTATTATATTCCTTCTATTATACTTACCCTCTATTAAACATGTAAACAAACCTGAAAAATTCTCAAATCACAAAGATATTTATGGTTCTCTTTGAAGGCGTCACTGTGCAACACCCTCTAACAGTAAAATCTTCCAACCATTTTTGAATTTTCCCAACCGTTTTTTCATGACAATAAGGCATAAGACAGGCTTTTACAAAAATATGTCAACACTGAAATGTCTGGAATGGTATATAGAGCTAATTCTTTGCTTTGTGACGATTTACATTCACCTCAAATGTAATTAAATTGTAATAATAAAAATGGGAGAATTAAGGAATCGATCAGATCAGTTTTCCCATTTTTTAGCAGCAATAATGGTCTGTTGTCACTGAAACTTTCAGATTATCTTTAATTGTACATGTAGCATTGAATTCACTACATTATAGCACCATTTTCTCTCATTTGAATGATAAATAGGGCAAAAGTCTTCACTGTGAAATCTTCATAGATAAAGAGAGCTGTATTTTTCCTGCCCAAATGCAACTCCTTTGCACGAGATAACAGGGAAATATATCAATTTCACTCGCACATACGCACGCACACAAGCCCCCACATGTACAGAATAACTTCTTCTTCTAAGTCAATCAAAGTCTCAAACGATAAAGAATTAAATTTACTATGGAAATCACTCTTTTGTAAAAAAAAAAAAAAAAAAAAAAAACAACATTCCTTCTTTCTGAAGGCCTAGTTATTGCTCTAATTTCTGAAAATGATATTTGCATTCTCATGATCAGGTGTCCTTTGAACAGAGGGGAAAAGTTTACCCGCCCTAAAATTCAATTATAATGACAAATTGTGTTTATATATTCCATGGATGATTACCTTAATCACACGAGCACCCGCCTATTTATTATCGTATCACTCTCACTTTGCACATAACGAAGCATGAATAATACACTTAATTGTTTTTCCTCATTTATGGCCAATAGTAGACGCACATTTATTAGCAAATAGCGAAGCATCGACGGTTAGTCCTTTTACCTATTACTTTATCATAAATGTATTTGTAGCCGCTGGTTGGCATTGCTGAGGAGAACATTATCTTTAAGAAAAATATTTATTGGTAGTTACATCAAAATGTAGTATTTATAGCAGCATCACAGTGGCTAAATTGTCTTTAAAGAAAAGTATGCGGGCGGTATTCTGACATTTGCACAGGTGACAATGATCCTTGGTTTCACGAAAGATATGGGGTTAGAGTTAGGGTTACGATTGGGTTTTAGCTAAGATTTAGATTTAGGATTGGGATGAGGTATAGTTTTGGTTGAGTGGTTGAATTTAAGAATTATGTCAGTATACGTAATAGATTGAGAAGCATTTGTCGCGTAGTATATGTCCTACAAGCCGATTTTTGCTCACTCGTTTCGCCCACTTAATGTAGAGAAGGCGCCATTCCCACCTTCCCCTCCCCTGACGAAAATATGCTGTAGGCTTATAAATGCATGAGGGGGTGAGAAAAAAAGAACCACATCCTAAAATAAAGAGAAAGAAAAATATGAAATGAGAGTCAAGATGAATGATCAGAGGAACAGTATGTAATTTTTATATTATTTTGTTTTATTTTCAATGAGGAAGAACCAACCCTGCTGAGCTCTATGAAAGTAATACAGTCCTGTTGCCTGAGAGGACTTTGATGATGTGCGACAGACTACATGGCTATTACTTCATCGTCTCTAACCATTATAAGCATCCCCTTTGAAGTGCTATAGCTGCGCCAGAGGCAATACTCTACCATGGACGAAATCCCAAGATTTCTATTAAAGTGGAGGCGACATTTTGATTTAACAAGATGGTTGCTTACGGGTGAATTACTTTGGACTTCAAAGATGAGAGGCTGATGGAAAAGTCGGAATTATGGAATCGTGGCGCCTGCTCAGTCAGATTAAAATTAAAGTTGAGAGGAAACGCCTTTTTTCCGGGTCACCAATAGAAATCAATGCAACGCCACTAGCTATTCGCGCAAAATGTGTTTTTCCTCTTCCTTTTTACCCCCCCCCCCCCCCTCTCTCTCTCCATCTCTTTCTCTCTCTCTCTCTCTCTCTCTTTCTCTCTCTCCATCTCTCTCTCTCTCTCTCACTCTCTCTATCTCTCTCTCTCTCACTCTCTCTTTCTCCCTTTCTCTTTCTCTTTCTCTCTGTAATGAAGCGGTGAAGTCGCTTTTCGTGTTTTTGTGAGAGTTTGAAATGTTTGACGTTTTAATGTTTTTGTTATTGATGTACTGGCGGATCCAGGATTTGCCGATAAGGGGGGGGGGGGGGCTAAAATTTGAAACTCGCGCAGATCGTTATTTTCGCTCAGTGGGAGGGGGGGATGTGTGATCACTAAAAAAACACTATAAAAAAAGTCAGGCCCCTCCCCCCCCCCCCCCCCCCCCGTTGATCCGCGCCTGGGCTGACAACCCCAATAGACCGAGAGCCGACGACCCAAGAGAGTGAAAACCAGGGTGGACTTCTTCTGCAGTCAATTCCCAACACATTTCAAATTTATGAATACTAGACAGATGATATATACCGTACAGGTAACACGATCGCGACTGCTTTTGTAAAATTAAATCAAGGGCATTTTCAATACCCTATTGTATGTTCCATAGAAACCATGTTCGGGTTATGTAATACATCATTGTTAGGTTCGCTCATTTGAATAGACGACGCACAAGGCTATTGATATTGCCTTAGGCTAAATTTTCCAAAGTAGCAGTGATCGTGTTTATAGGTGATGGCATTGTGTGTTAACATTTTGATAATCTATCAATCTTTTTACAAGGACGGTATCCGAAATATTACAAGGGAGAGCGAAATGTATAAACAAAACAAACAAATACAAAAATAGAAAACACATAATTGTTTTTCAAAGTGATAAGTGGAGGTAATAAACCAAAGAATAGCAGCGAATACAGACTTACTAAAGCTGCTAGTAAATGTTTCTTTTCTGTTCTCAAGTGAGAAGGAATGGGGGAGGGGGTTCCTTCGCCTTCCTTCATCAACTTTATCCTTTCACGTAATGGTATCGCATTTGCTAACATAGTAAACGTTGCATTTCATGATGATATTTAACGAAATATACCATTAAAAAAACGACAAGAATTGAATGGTCCGGGTTACTTTACAAGATTGTATTCGAAAGCATAGACATATTAATATGTTAATTCTTGATGCAAACCTGTCGCTCTTTTTTTTTTTCTCTTTTGCTCTTTATTCATCAAAACATATAAATTTCCTTTGGTTCTTAACCAGATTCTTATATTTAATTGTTTTTAAGGTTTCCTGGTATTAAGTCAAGAATTCGCTCTTCTTGAATCGGACGTGCTAGATGTATTTTTAAATGATTATTAATTAATTGCCCTTGGTTCTTTATAAAGACTAGTCGCTAAACGAGTGTCATATGACCACACTTTATACCAAGGGGTACTCGCTTCAAAGCCTTTTTTCCATCCGATTTTGATACATTATTATTTCACAAACTGGTAACACATTATAAGTCAATCTCATAGAGTGAAATAATTGGAGAAAGAGACTGAGAGAGACACAGAGAGAGAGACAAAGAGAGAGAGCGCGAGAGAGAGCGAAGAGAGAGGGAGAGAGAGAGAGAGAGAGAGAGAGAGATAGAGAAAGAGAAAGAGAGAGACATGGAGAGAAAGACAGGTCCAATATGTGATGGTACATGATTTAGACAGCGCCATCTGTAGTTTGCGTACAGATTGGTAAGCCACAAACGGTTTAATAGCGTTTCTCGTTTGGAGTGCGGGGCCATTTTGTAAGGGATCTGGGCTAACTCGGCACTGTCACAAAAATTACTTTTAGAATAACTTTTAAATCTGAAATGTTGTTGTTAAGATTCTATTCATATATAACATTTTATTTGAAACCAAGTTAATTTCCTTCAATTTTTCAATCGAAAAAGTATTGTTTATTATTTTTATACTATAATAAATCTAAGCGATAATTCGATAAATAAAGGATATTATAATACCCTCGCTAGGCCAAACTGTAGGTAATATCCTTCCTGGTTTTCCATCATAATCGACTAACCATGCCACAGAAACTCGGAATGACAAGATCACGTCATGTCAACATAACGACCCAACAAGTCAACTTGAAGAGAAGATCATTTCATTCTTGGGGTGGCACTTGTCACTTTTTACAACTTGAATATGACATTCTGATTTTCATCTTGGCCTCTGACTTCGAGTTCCTGCCAGGAGTGCCAGCAACGAGGTCATTGATTCTCAGATAATTATTTCAGTGTCCCTCGTCTTTGTATGTTTTACAAATCCCAAAGGAAGTTCAGGTATATGCCCGGTTTCTTCCAAACTGTCGGCTTGACGGTGCCACCATGCATATCAATGATGGGATAACGATCTGACGTTTGTTTTGGTTGGAGAAGACAATGGTAAACAATAGATATTCCATTTAATAGGAAACGTGACCCCTTTATTTAATAGTTTGTATCCTCATCTTTCATTTGTGAAACTTGAATGACATTGACAGTCCTTTTCAAACACCCTCTCTCTCTCTCTCCCCCACTCTCTCTCTCTCTCTCTCTCTCTCTAGCTATGTCAGTCTTTCTTTTTCTACATATCCTTTTCTTCGTCATCATCATCATCATCACCATCATCTTTATCATCCTCTTCTTCTTCTTCTTAAAATCCTCCCCTCTCTCTCTCTCTCTCTCTCTCTCTCTCTCTCTCTCTCATCTCTCTCTCTCTCTCTCTCTCTCTCTATATATATATATATATATATATATCTGTACTTCACTCCCTTTTATTCTGTTCTCTTTTCTCTTATGACTATCCGATACATTGGCTCTTCCTCGATACCAATAATTTTTATTTTTTTGTAGTGTCACTACACCGTTATGATGTATCTTATAAACTTTCACATTTTCCCATACAGAATTGGTACAATATATAAAAGTGATTTAGTCCTAATCTGGTGCTACAGCTGCAGATTGTTTTTCCTTCTTTTCATTTCTCCATTTTTGTTTGGATTTTAATAAATGTGTTCATTTGATGTCACTATCTTGAGCTAGAGCTATCACGTGCCTTTCTATCTATCACTCCTTGGTACAAATTTCTTAATCTAACCTAACTGTAATCGAAAAAATATAGCTGTTTATCTGGCTTGTCCTCAAGTCGCTTTCTGAAAAACCATCAGAGAGATAATGTTTACATCTGCATACTGTACCTAAGTCATCTTATTTTCGCTTCGTCCCCCCTAACCATGGACCAAACCCACTCTCCTCGTTGATTGGAATCATAAGGAAGCTACGAGTGAATCAATTTCCTCAAGTCATTGAATAACTATACCGGGGCTGTTTATCCGATCCAATTTCAAATAGAAATGCCCCTGAACACATAACAGCTTTGTTTCCCCCACAAAATATATTCTCCCATTCTATCAGAAGAGATGTTCACACGTTACCGCCGTAATGTTTGCTAAATATGTTCACATGTGACCGCCGTCAAGTTTGCTAGATATGTTCACACGTAACCGCTGAAAAGTTTGCGAAACCCGAAGATTTTTTTTTATTTTAAAGGAACCACTAACAACGACGAGGGTTTACATGGGACCTAACCAACGGGTGTTCAAAGTTTTAAAGGTACTATGTCCCATTTGCAGGCCAAAAAAAATGAAAAGATTTAATTCCAACGGCATTTGAAATATAATACCAATTTAGAACTTCCCTAAAGAAAAGGGGGCTTGAAAATATCTTTAAGTGGGAAAATAACGACTATTAGTTGTCAAATCGACTTAAGAGCTATAGAGCCAGTAAGTAATAGTCTGATTTTTAGACCATTGTACCGAATGGTCGTACGTTTTATGCCACGCAAAGATTCAATCAGTTTAGTTTTGGCCATTACAAGAAGTGGGTAATTGATGTAGACAAATGCTCATGTACCGTACATAATATTACCAAAGAAGAAAAAAGCCAGTCAGTCACTCAATAGTGTCTGACAGTGAAGTCTAGCAAGTAAACGGGTTTCCTTGTACAATTTGAATATTAGGACACTGCTAACGTTTAAATTTCACATACATGACATATTAATAATTCCTGCAAAGGTATACAGACTTTGATGTTGGCTGCAAAAGGGATCTATTATCTTTACAACTTTGATTTTGTTTTAACCACCACGAGCTATAATCTAAGTTTTTCGACTCCCGTGTAAACCTGGCTACTGTCTACTAGCTACTTGTCTACTACTAGTGTGAGGAAATGGTGGGAACGGTTTCTTCACCAAAGTGAGTTTCTTTGGTAAAGAAGTTTAATATGGCACTGTTTCCAGAATAACATCCTCCGGGCTCTGCAGTTTACACAAAGTAAAGAGGACATTTGATCCAAAGGAAAGACACAATTCTGATTCTATTTATCTATGGCGCATCGTTAATGTGAACATCGATTAATGTAACTATAGTTCAATTCCTCATTTTCTAACACGTCGTAAAAGCGCCTGACTCAGAATAGTTTTAAAGCTATTATAGATGTTTAGAAGGCAGACATATTTTTGATGACATGGCATACTTTAGCAAGGAGATGATTATCTTCTTGGTTTTATCATTATATTTAACGAATGGTAATATCTCATGCCTTGTCTGGTTCATCAAAAAGGAATGAAAATATACATCTTGTCTGTATGCGACCCTAAATTTGCCGTATGATTTTCGCTCCGTTGAAAATTTCTTATTTTGTTAAAAATCCTTTAACAAACAATGGAGCTTTTTCAGCTTCCTGGGGCATCAATTCATTGGGTGCACAATTACACGGTCTCTCTCTGAACCCTGACCCGTGCTCATTTTCTCGCTTCTGACTACTGTGACCCAATTTTGAAGGAAAAGGAGATAAACGTAGGCCTGCAGTCTAAACGTATGCATTAGGCCTGAAGTGGTACCAGCTAGGTACTGCCATTATGGGGGATTAAAAATACTCTGTATGTCCCTTTTGCAGTCAACATCAAATTATGTAGAACTTTGCAGGAATTACGAATATGTCATGTATGTCCTCTCTGTGAAATTAAAACATTAGCAGTGTCTTAGTATTTAAATTACGCAAGGAAACACGATTACCTTCTCGGTGTCATTGGATTGGTAACGTTGGATCTCGAAAAAGATTTCGACATGGTGTCACATGATATTCTTTTACAAAACTTGAAGATTTATGGTTTCAGTAATGAATCTTTACGTTGGTTTCGAGATTATTTTTCTTTGAGAAAACACATTACTATTATAAACGGTAACAGGTCAGAAGCAAGCCAAGTATTTTGTGGCGTCCCACAAGGAAGTATATTGGGGCCACTGTTATTTATATTATACATCAATGAAGTTTAATAAATACAATACAATACAATACATTAATGATTTACCACCTGTTGTCAAGCGTTGCGCTGTATCAATGTTTGCTAACGACACATGTTTATCCATCTAGAGATCCGAATAGTCTTTAGTGTATAACTAATGAAGATTTAGTTGTTATTCATGACAAACCTCGTTTTGTTTCGACAAAGCTCCTTTTGTGTTTTACAAACCAGGTTTGTAAAAAACGCGTCAAAACGCGTCATATGACGTACATAAACCTCGGTTTGTCGACTAACCTCCTTTGTGAATTCGGGCCATTTAGGCGATCGATGGTATTTCCCCCCTACGTTCTAATTGTTATCGTCTATTTTTTTTTCTCTCTCTCTCTGTCTCTGTCTCTGTCTCTCTGTCTCTCTCTCTGTCTCTCTCTTCTCTATCTCTCTCTTTCCCTCTTTCCCTCGCTCTCTCGCTTTTACACTCAAGCTACCTCTGATGATTTGTTTTATGATAAGGAGCTTTTGTTTTGACTAAATTGTATTTTTTCTAACAATTTCTGATATTTAAAATACTAAGTGTGATTGTTACAAAGAATTTTTTACAAATATATATTCTTGTTATTAAGAGTTATTTACGGTTCTAGGACACCTACCCCCTGGACATCCACCCCCGGATACCCCCGCCCGTGACAACTACCCCCTACGATAACCATCCTCTAGGACAACTAGGGGATAGTTGTCCGGGGGTAGTTGTCCTAGAGGGTGGTTGTCCTAGGGGTAGTTGTCCGGGGGTAGTTGTCCTAGGGGTAGTTGTCCTAAGGGGTAATTGTCCAAGGTAGAAGTTCACTGGGTGGTTATCCGGGGGTGGATGTCCAGGTGGTAGGTGTTCGGATATGGTTATTTACACATTGTATTCTTGTTATTTTAATTTGTATTATGAATTAAATTTGTTTTGTTTATGAATATTGTGTGAATGTTTTTAATGGCTGATAGCAGGTGTTTTAACCGTTTAACCGTGGTTAAATAAATAAAACAAACAAACAAACAAATCAAATGCTCAATTAGGCGCACATCATTATTTTATCTGACAAGGAGAGAGTCATCAGCCCATGTCCTCCACTTTTCTTTCCCAACTTCTCCCCCCCCCCCTTTGGACGGGGGGGGGGGTGAGGGGCGTGCCCATTATTTGCCCCCCCCCCCCATCCCCTAGATCCGCCACTTTATTTAGATATTGTTCGTTTTCATCATTACAATACTAAAAGAAACTGGCCTTTTGTGGGATGGAAGAACTTTCATGGGCTGTCGAAAAGAAACTGACGCGCCAGTCAGAGCTAAATGGGGCAACAGAGTCCACTACACCATGGGTAGCACGTCAGTTTTGACTATTTGCCAGCCAGGGCACTAATATTATTCCTGCTGGTCTTTCGCGAGGAGAATAACATAATGGTTCCTCCGTGCTTCCGACTTTGTATATGATTTCCCAGCTACTATGTTCGTACCAATTCGGTCACACTGATCTCGTCAAGTTCAAGGAGGGATTTTAGCGTGTTTAGAGGCATCGGTTCCTCGGCCCGGTAAAACTGAGTCTCATCGTAGTTCTCGAGGCTCGCGAATAACTCTGAATGTTTAATATTGAGGCGCCGCCAAACACGATTATACCAGTACTTGATCCGTTGGCACACTCACAGGTAAGTAATTCAGTGTGAAATAACTTCTCACACTGAGGTCCATTTGTTGATTTTGAAAGACGGTGTTTGATCATATACGTACAGATGAACGATTTCTTGATATTGCAAGAATCTGATAATGCTTCTCAAACTCAATTTTTTCAACTCAATATTGTTTTCGTTCAATAACGAAAATAATTCAGATTGTAGTCACTTCTTTCAAATTTTGGGCTCGAAATAAAATGAATGCCATACTAAACAGTGAAATGGGGGAGGTATGGGGAATGGAAATGAAATTACCATATTGGATCACAGGTAATGTGATAATAGGGACTTTTAGATTTGCACGTCGACATAGTGGACTGCTACGTTTGACGTCCTTTTAATGCACTAGCAGTGCCCTATAAGGACGTAACATTGCCTTAAAAGGACTTCACACGTAGCAGTCCACTATGTCGGCGTGCAAATCTAAAAGTCCCTCATAAGCGGAGGACCAAAGTCAGAAAAGAGTGGTTTGCCTGCCCGGACTTCCGCATAAACTAAGCACACCTTGTTTATTCGAAAGATTTTATCACAACACACAATATTTCAGAGGTGTATTTTTTTTAATTTGTTGCAAACACCCCTTAAATCGGAGGGGGCATCCAAAAAAAGGGTCAAAAGAAACATGTATAAATTTTGAGCCAAAAAGTTTTTTTTGTAGATATTTTTTCCCTCTAATTTTGGCCAGTATCTCGGTATATTAAGTGAACAAAAGTGATTGGACATGTAGTTGTGCAGAAAGTTCAAAGAATTTGGAGAGCTGAGTCACTGAGTGTAATTCATAAGTACCTCTATACTCTGTGATGTTTTAGAAAATGTGGGCATGGGCAAGTGCCCCCCGAACACACACACAATTAACTATTAATTGACCCCCTCCATTTGTCCGCTTAGTAAAATCTTCAACATAATCAAAGAAAGATCACTAAACAAATCCTGCTTGTGATTTAGCTGGGATTATATAGACAGCCCACGAGACCAACAATGTAGGTCTCTTGAACCCTCAGAAAAATTGTCAGAATGCCCATTAAAGTGATATGCTGGTTTTGTGAATCCTCAAATAATTTTTTCAGAAGACCATGCAGAACGCCGAAGCGTTAATGTGGTGTAAATTCTTTACAATACATGTAGATATCACGTTTTAGCCAAAAATGTGTTTTCTCTTTTTATTATTGGAGAAAACAGATATACATGTATATAGAAGTGAATAGTTTTTACATATCAGATTAGCTCCTGAAGACTGATCTCCACGGTTTTCCTCCTTTAAATATATATTTTTTTTTATACGTAGTGTTAATATAGAAAACATTTCTTATCTTACAAGCATTATAATACAGTTTATTGCATTGATATTTATTTGTTTCCTGATAAATATACTAATGTCCTTTGGCAAGACATTGATCTACATTTGCCACACTCGACCCAGGTGAAGTAAATGGGTACCTGGTAGGAATTTATTCCTCGAAATGCTAGAGCGCCGTATGGCAGCCGTGCTAAAGCCAGGGTAATAATTGGAAGCGCCAGGAGGGTCAAATCTGACTGACATGAGCGCTATACAAGAACCCACTATTATTAGTATTATTATTTATGTACAAAAAAGCAATGTGTAGATGTATATAGATTTCCTAAATAAGAAATAGTTTTTATTAAAATAGTGAAAAGGGTCCATGTAATAAGGGCTTTACTGTGTTAACTAGCATATAATGGATCTAGTTTTCAATGAGTCGTGCATCCGTCGGGTTGCAAGGGACATCGAACCAAGTCCCACAATAGGGGTGCCAATTTTGCTAACATTATCCAAGTACTTCTATTGCCATTTATTGAGTTTAAATAACAACTTGTTTGCACCGAAACTGTAGGATTGTATTTTGTCTTGCCAACTCAGCTTGTCATCTCAAAGACAACATAACAGTACTGCCTTTTTGTCAACCCAGTTGGGGCGTGGCCTGGGATACTCGTATTTAAAAAGGTTCATTTTTCTGAGGAAAATAATTATGAACACCCAAACCTCTTATACATTTAATGACAAATTTAGGAAATTGATATTTGTCTGCCCCGGAGCTCTCGTGCTATCTTTAAAATCTAACAATAATTATTCGAAGTCCCTATTAAGGTTTAAGAAGGAGGATTAATATGCTTTCAAACATACATGTAATGATGTAAACGTGACGAGGATTATGATGGGTATTTCCATGGAAATACATCGTGAAAGCAAAGACAGATTAAATGCTATTCAGCGTCACACAAAATATACAGGATCATTGAAAGTATGATCAGGCAATTCCACCAACAAAGAAATACATTAGTTTTGACCCACATTTTCCAAGGTGCGTCATGTTTTTTTTTTCCTTATTTAATGTACCGCAAATCGATGTTTGTACGATAACTCAAATGGTCTGCATACGTCTTGCCCTTTTTCATTTCCGGAGTCAATTATGTTGTGATAACCAATTTCTGACAGAGGCATGTTTGGAAAAAAGCAGGAGGGGCGCTTCCCCGAGCGGTTTCCACATGTACACGTGGAGACACGGGCTACTAACCAGGAATGTTGAAACATCGCCTTCTATTTTAATACTTAAAGCCCCACTGTCCTACTTATAGCTACTTGCTCCCTCTATATAGAAAACTTTCCCAATCGGTGCCTGTTGGTCCCCCATGATCCTCTATTTCTTATGTTATTTGAGAGCTGAGTTGATGAAATAGCCACCTGTCAGTGACCTCGCTGTGTGGTCAAATCCCTGCTGGCCAAACTAGTGCAGATAAGCTTTAAATCAAGTGAGAATGAATCAGGAAATGATATAGTCCCCCCCCCCCTTCCCCTTCCCCTTCTCACCCCTCTCTCTCTCTCTCTCTCTCTCTCTCTCTCTCTCTTTCTCTCTAAAATCTAGGCTATCAACTTCCACTAAGAAATTTCTTCGCTATCTGTATTGTTAGATGCAAAAAACCTCTCATTTTTAATTAATAACTATTTTACCTCTCTTTAGTTACCGATTGCACTACCACTTACGCTCTCGTGTGTCGTTTACCCCATCTCCCATATCATCAAAATGTTTCTTTTCAAACAGTCATTGTCATGTTATTTCCATGTCTTATGATTATATTACCATTCACTCGACCGTATTTTGCTTTAGTGAAAGTGAAATACTGTGCCTCCATCATAGCCACCTATGTCGTGGTCGAGTGGTTTAAGGCGCTTGACTGTAGATGCGAAGGTCGAGGGTTCGAATCCCGACACGGCACTAATATCCTTTGACAAGATATTTACCTGCACTTGGTACTCTCCACCCAGGTGTTAAATGGGTACCCGGTAGGATGCGAACGTTCATGTGGTTGAACGAGCAAGTGTGCGCCTGTAAAATGGCGACTGGCTGGAATGCTCCCCAGGGAGTGGAAAATGTGCACACATTGTGTGCGGGTAAGCCTGAATCCGATGACCGGGGTAATAATATATCTGTATAGCGCTTAGGCACATCGTTGGATCGGTGTATTGAGCGCTATATAAAAACCGGATTATTATTATTATAGTTGATTACATACCAGTGTGTTTTCATTTTGCGAGCAAGCCAGGAAGTTCACAAACGCTCCTCATAGTGCTAACAGACTGACCTTGTACTTTCCATAAGATTGTGTAATTTTTGATAACAAAGAATGTTTGCTACATTCTGAATGGAATAAAATCGTACATCCAATACGCCAAGTACAAGTCTAATGATAACGACGTGGGTGTGCGTGTGTTGAGAATCTGACATGAAAACTTGCCACATTCCGGATCATGTTCATAATTCTTAATAAAGTTCATCATGTATCACAAGTCATGCTTGAGGGCCTCTTTAATACTAAAGATCTAACAAGTGAAACATCTTTGTCCAAAATATCAAACAAGTTAAAACAATTATTTTCCGAAATCTGGGGGGGGGGGTGATAGCCGCTCCCTGCGGCCAAATGATTTATGATTTTTAAAGTTCCTGAGACGATACCTCTGATAATTTGTAAATAAAACGAGTCCAATCAATAGCTTTGCTCAAATTATTATATTTTGACGAACACTTTTTCGGGAGCAAATGGGGCAAGGGGCTAAATAAATTGCAGCTTATGTCCTGAGGACGTTAGTAGGGACTTTTAGATTTGCACGTCGACATAGTGTATTGCTACGTGTGACGTCCCTTAATAAGGCACTGGCATTGCCTGAAAAGGACGTCATAATGCCTTTAAAGGACGTCGGACGTAGCAGTCCACTAATCTAAAAGTCCCTATTATCTGCAGTTGACATGCGCATTGCCATCGTCTCACTAAGGTTATGAACATTACTTGTTTAACCCTATGCTTACTGCAAACAGGTGGTTCGTTTACAATGCCTATATGCATTATTTTGATAGAGGAGAATTATGGAGTCAGCGGATTAAAGAAAATCAGGAATATGAAAATTGGGTGCCTGAAACATTTTCGTCTGAGAGTCATGATCAGCAGGAGGTTGCACGTGTGTTCATGTAGAGTGAACCTTTCTGCAGGTAATGTCATGTCCCCGATGGGAAGAGAATTAAAGGGATTGGGTAACTTTGTCTCAGATTCTGAAAGAAAATTTTGAATTTAGCTCATGCTGCAATGATAATCATAAACCTTTAGGTCAGTCAGGAACCCCATGACTTTTACGAGTCGATCGCCTGTCTGGTTATCAGGTATTTATGATTGGAATTCGAAATTTGAAAATTTGTTTCCCTAATGGTTTTCATTACACTACAGTCTATTGGGGAAAATGAGTATGGTAAAACCGGTCACTCAAAGATATTTTTACTTTTTTTTAAAGGCACTTCCTGATAATTTTGAAGCGCAATTTTTGTAGGGCTTCAATATGGGCCATATCACAGACACTCATAACACGTAGGGCCATGCATCTCAGAATATTGTTAAACGATGCCTTTAATAATGTTGAAAAGCTAGTCTGTCCTCAATAAATTCGTTTCGGTGAAAAAATTTGAGTGACA